TACAATAAGGCAATCCGCGTTATTCAATGAATAACTAAATCAAATACTGTACTTAGTTACGTGATTTTAGGACATTTTAGGGTTTAAAACACGATATATGATGTTCCCCATGACCACTATCGTTTTATACAGTTGGAAGTGTTTAAAAAAATGAAGAGCAAGAGAATTTTAAAATAACTTTGAAGCCTAGCTTGTAATTTATATATTAAAATAAAACACGTTTATCGGTTTAGAACGAGATATATATTTTTTATTTAATAAACCTATGACTTAACGTTTCGGATGCTTTGCAGCAGCTGTGGTTACAGGGGACCACATCTTGTCTGTTAAAAATCAATTGCGAACGTCCAAATGCCAAAATAGCTCGACAGCGCATCTTGTTTCTATGTTATAAATTTGTATGGACTTAATAATATAGCTGGAGTAAACCTTGTCTTTTCTCCTTTGTAAAAAATCTATATTTTTTTCTAAAATCTTTCAGGGTGCAGCGGCGGTAGTTTTAGATATATATAAGAACGGTTGCATCGCAAAGGATGGTCGTCTAAGACCCGGAGATCAGATCAAGGATTGCAACGGAGTGGCCATCGCCAAGGAGATGGCGCACGAGCGGATGTGCCTTACCATAAAGCAGAAGGCACCTAAGGTATAATGTGTTGACGGGCTCGTTGGTACAACTCGATCTCCACCGAGTTCAATATTTTTCTAATCAAGTCTTACCTAATTTTTCGGAAACATTTTGAACTTTGCGAATTTTGAAATTAAACGAGAAAAAGCCGTAAAGTTTAATCACGTTTACAGGCAAGGTAGTTAATCAGACGTTAGGTGAAATTACGTCATTTTTTAATATATCTTTTTTTATATTGACTTTAAAATGAAGGCTTTTATTCACTTTTTACAGTTAAAAATGAACGTCTACCGACCAGAACCGATAGTGTATGATGAAATAGATGTGGAACTAACGAAGAAAGGGGGCAGAGCGCTAGGGCTCGCCTGCATACAGCCGGTGCAGGGCACCGGGGTCTACTTAGGAGAATTGGTGAGCTGAATATAATTACTAAATTAATACCGCTAAATAAACAAGGATAAATTAATAAATAAATAATATATAGCGTATCATTGTCTTTCGGGTTGTTCAGCCGATGTGAGCGAGAAGAGGTTCTCAACGTTTCGCCATCACGTGTGGACGGCATCATCAGGAGATGTTAACTCCTCGATTGCTCGATAATTCTTCGAGCAATCGAGGACAATGAAAAAAGAATATATAATTTAATAATTACTTAGAGATAATGATGACACAGTTAAGCTTATAGTGACGTTATTGGTAGAGCTTTTTTTAATTGGAAGTAATACAGTGAATGAAGTGTTATCTGCAGTTTATGCAAGATGTCATTTTAATAAAGATTTATGGTGCATATATCAATACGTTGAAAAACTTTTACCACTACGTGTAGGACACGGTAGCTCAATTGGTTAGAGCAATAGAGCGCAACGCTGTGCATGCCGACTCAGGTCCTGCCCGTGTTGAAAAGTTTTTCCAATCTAAAATCGATTTTTAATTTAAATAGTGCCACCATGTGCAATAACATGCGAAGAATATTAAAATATTCTTTGTTCCAGCTCCCGGGCTCCCCGGCGGAGCAAGACGGGCGCTTGCAACGCGGCGACTTCTTAGCCTCCGTCGACGGCAAAGATATGTCTGCAGCGGACGCAGCCACTGCCGCCACAGCGCTCAAACTGTGCTCCAACAAAGTCCCCATCAAGGTGAAGAGATTCAAAATAAAGTGAAGGTAGTTTTTTGTTTTAATGAGTTTAGTTGTCTGGTTAAAGGTTTTGTAAGTGGAATAGGTACGGTCCGTTATACGCAAGACCCACTTTCACTTAGAAGCATGGGCAATAAGATTCTGATTTAACGGTCGATCACTATTATTTAATTGCTGTAATTGGGTCTAAAATCATAATGTTATAAATTATTCACTTGAAATATATTTTATTGTCTGTGACTCGTGTTATCGGACCGAGAATAAAAGTACAGTCGGGATTGCAAAAAAATATCGAAATATTTATGATAAGTTATTTTTTAATATTAACATTACGTAATAATGTTTGTGTTTTTAGGTAGATGAGAATAAAATATAAATTGATAAAATAACTACTCAAAGTAGAAAAACACGTAGAAAATTTTAGAATATTTATGTTGATCTGATTGTATCTTAGATGGACAAAAGGTCCATTTTTATGCAACTACCCTCATTTAATCACGAAGTGAAATTATTGAATATTAGCAGATACTATTCGGGCCGACAAAACCCTATGTTAGTAGTTTGTAAATTACATATTTCAGTATTGCTTAGATATTAGTTTAAAATAAGTTTAAAGAATTAGTGAATTTATCTAAACACAGTCTAACCTATACAATATTGAAGTGAATTTCATCCTTATTTGAGCATAGGACTTTGATTCTGAAAGCGTATGAGTTAGGTAACATAAGCTCAGCTGGCACAGCAGGCTGTTGGTTGGCGGTTGGGTTCACTTCCCGCAAATGCCATTTTTAGTTTATAAAATATCTCAATCTTATTTATTTCGTTTCCTTTAGAAATGATTGTACTAGGGCTTGCAGTGTTGCCTACTGCGGTATACAATGATACCTAGCATTCTACTACTTATATATAAAGCTATACTTAAAAAGAGATATTACTGTCTACTCCATCTTATTTCAGAAAATAGTAGGTCGATTTTGATTGTTCTTCTAACTAAGATCTGTTAAAGTTGTTTATCAAAGTCAAAAAGAAATCATGATTTAAGCTTAATTATGTTTTAATAATTTAACCACAGCTTATAAATAGTAATAAAATCATATAAAACGAAAACGAAGTGATCGTTTTGAATGGAATTAATTAGTATTATTCTAGTACTAACTTGCCAACAAGTCGCAAAATCTAGATTTAAAATTAAGTGTATTTAGTATGCTTAAAAATCTAGTCTGAATAATAATTATAGAACGTGGGAATTTCTAAAGTAAATGGTTTTTAGCTTATAACAATTGTTACGTACTAATAAAAATAAATAATTGATTTAGATATATCACTTTGATGCGTATTGTCATTTTGGCGGGAATTTTAATGACATTGACATTTCGTACTATAGAACAGATAATAATTATTTGATACTGGCAGCACCAGTCTTATATTAATAATGTATGATATATTTATCTCTTTTTCTCGCATTACAGTTATGTATTAGTAGAGCGAGACAAAACATTGAATTGATTGTTTTCTTAAGCCCAAATATAAGTGACATTTACAACGCAATGAGAACGCGTAGTATAATTCAAAATCTTGTAAATTGTAAAAATAGTAACAATTAGTTGTTTAAGTTAGTAATATAATTGTAGGTACTCTACATAATATATTGGTTTTCTGAAAGCTTAATAAAATGTCCGATCACGATGGGCCTACAAAAGATGTTTATTACTTTTAATTCAGAGTAGTCGAAAGTAAGTCTGATTAATATTTATTTACAATAAAAAAACAGAATGCAGGTAAGATAGATACAGTAATACTCGTCTTGCTTACTTATAAGCGTTAATTAGTAACAAAAAATCAGTTTATAATTGCCCATATTAATTTATCGTGATCGAAAAATGTATCTATAACGATGACATTTTAAATATTAATAATCGTTACATAAATTATTGTCAATCTTATGTTGATTAACTTCTGAAGTTATTGAAATTTATGGAACTATAATTACTGTCATTTTTAACCGTATTTGTATTGTATTAAGTTAAATTTAAAATTCAACAACTATGTATTAGAGTAACGAATTTCAATCAAATAAAATTCTGTTTTGCCAAAATTAACGTGGTCAAAGCGAGATTTAATGCGTTAAGTACTAGAGATTAGTGTAGAAATTCAATTTTTCTAGTGATTTTAGTATAAGTGATGGTGACACAACGGATTACCAATAATTATAATTATATTATGTACCAAAAATGTATGAAATAGTACGTAATAAATTGTGCGCTTTTTCAATTATCGTTGTTTGTTTTTCACAAATATTTTAGTAGCTTTTAAATTAAAATTTTATGACCTTTTTTCCAAATATTTTTACGAAAAGATTCAGTTTGAAAGCTGCAGATTTTTTAATAACTACTTTCAAAATTAAAGGTGTTAGGGCGAATAAAACAATTGCATAATGAAATAATCATTTATTAACATCATAACAGATCAATGTCCCATCACAACATCAGAGATTATTTCGGCTTCTACGAGTCTACTTTAACAAAGGTAAGTACGTAATTTATTTAGTAGTAATACCGATTATGACACATGACTAGAAAGTGATAACTAAAGTTTAAGATATAAATCATTAGACGCCATCTTTAAGTACAGTATGTAGTGTAGTGCATGATACTTAGAGGACGACGAAAATGTCGACATAGATTTGTGTAGTAAGAACTATTTTTAAATCAAACACCTTAACGCTTTAAAACGCGATATATTAGTTAAACTTATTTGAAAATGATTGTTAACTTCGGCCCGACGTTTCGGGAGCTTTGCAGGAGCCGTGGTCACAGGGAGATATTTATATAACATATTCAAATAAGTTTAACTAATATATCGCGTTTTAGACCGTTAAAGTGTTTTATTTAGATGTGTTCTACTCGCGTAAAGACAGTATTTAACTATTTTTTAGAAGTATAATAAACTTAGTTGTAATACAAGAGCGTAAAGTCAATTCAAACTTAATATCGCAAATGGCGCCTAGTAATCTAAAGCCTTTTTGTCAATACTTTAATATATATAACGAAAAATCGTCGTAACAACCTCTTGAGCAAAAAATGTTAGTTTTTACGTCAACACATTAGAAACAAATAATTGTTGTTTTTTATATTTCCAATTCGTTTGGATATCAACCAGTTAATAGTCCAATTTAAAAGTCGCGTTATATTATCTATAGAAATATCTATTCGACATCACATATTGTTCCCATTGTATCAATTACAATCGTTCTTCCGAACTCTTCCTTATAACTAGTGGCTTCAGTCTGCTTCTTAACTTAACCAATCGTTTACTAACCTTTCCTGTAGAGTTAGGGTTTCGCAAATCAGGCATAGACTTACTCTCGTGAACTGGCAACGGTTCAGCAGATTTGATCGTACCGTAATATCTAGGCATACTGTAATCGTTTTCTTTAAACATAAGCGCTGTTTTTTGTTTGATACTTTGTAAACTCTCTCCTTTGTATATAGGCATAGGCGGCGGTGTATCCGCAGCGAAAAATCTTGGCAAATTGTTGCTTTTGATTATAGGAGTATCTGGTAACGAACTCAATTTTAACTCGCTCTCGGATAGAGATGGCACCCCCACGGTTGATTTACTCTTCATCAGCGGTGGTTTCTCCGGAGCTAAGTACGCAGGAATGTTCAAGAAAGACGCACTTCTATGCGGTACTCTTGCTAGCACCTTGTTAATTTTATTTGGATCTATACTCTTAAGACTATCCACTCTACTCAATGACGGTCTTAATCTATTAGGACTGTCTATTCTCTCCAGAGTTCTAGCGCTGTTCGTTCTAAGGATGCCTTTAACGCTCTCCACTCTGGGCAGTACAAGAGTCGAAGGCAGAGTTAGGACAGACACTGGGTCGTATTCGTACACTGGAGTTTGCTTCGTTATTTTATCTTCGTCTTTCAAAGTGACCGTGCTCGGTTTTATAACATCTTGCTTTTTAACGGATACATTCATAACCAATCCTTCTTCTGTATCTTGGCTCTTTGTGTCTTCTTCCTCTTCTTCAATTTTGAACATATCGTACGATGCCAATAGTTCGTCTTTGAACATGATTTCGAAATCTGTAACTGGTGAGTCGACTTCATCTTCAAAATATACTTTGGTCCTGTTTGGCTTATCTGCTAAATAATCTGGTTCAGATTTCGTTTCGAATTCATCTAGAGTGTTCGTGCTTGCCGATTTCAATTCTTGGTCGTCTCTGAATATTAGGGATTTTGAGAATACCTGTAATAGAGGAATAGAATTTTGTATAACATTTTCATGCAGCAGGGAAAAATCATTTAACAAATACCAGCCTGTCAAACTTTCGAACGATGAGAAGTATGTGTATCTGTCCCATCTTTATTAAATAGTGATTACATATTTTAACTTTAAAATGAATATGTAAAATATTTACTATGTATATATTTTACAGCATGTAACAATATTAAATGCCTATCAAATACCATTAAGTGAAATGTACATTTAGTTAATTGCTTCTAACCATGACGTAATAGTATTGTTAGACTTACCTCGTACAATTTGTCTGCATGTAGAGGTAATTCGTTGATCTCTCTCCCAACGATGGCAGTTGGTGGTAAGTGGTTGTTGTTTATGGGCTGTTGTGTGACTACACTGTCTAGACTGGCGCCCATGTTCGAGTAACCATTGCTGTGGTGCGTGTTTTCTTCTAGCCTGGAAGGAGATACTCAGTGCCTTCATTCATATAACAACATAAACAGACAAACCATCGCTATACTTTAACGGGGCTATCATGAGCGCTTACTATACTTGCATTTATCTAATTGGGACTTAAAACTTTTTAGTAGTTTTGAAGTATTCAAATTATAAATGTATATACATTCAATATATTGAAAACCATTGTTTGAGAATTTAGTAATTCTGAACAGTCAAAAGTAATGATATAATGTTACTTATACATTTATGTTATGGATTTACGCAGTGTTATGGAACTCTAATGTTATAATTAGGATTTAATGAAAAGGCTTTATTAAATATAGTAGCCTATATATAGCCTTCCACGATAAATGCTCTAACCAACATAAAAATAATTTTTCAATTCGAACCTGTACATTTCGAGATTAGCGCATTCAAACCAACAAACAAACTCTTCAGCTTTATATATTAGAACAGATTGAACTTTAAAACATTGTTAATATTTTCATTTCGTTATCTTCATATACATGATAGATTTAATTACATAATCTACTATTTGTAACGTAAAATGTAACTACAAAATGCAGCCTCGAATAGATACATATATTTTCCTCAACTCAAAGTAAAGTAAAGGCATAACGAATACTTTGTGGAAAAAGATAATACTGAAAATACATAATTCTGTAAACACAATGTAAAGAAATCACTTTTCACACAATGTAAGCCAATGTAAAACATGATTGTTTGCAAATTGTAAAACTCTGAAGTTAAATTGAAACCACATAATTAAAAACACTTTGAAACCATGACTTGCTTTGTAAAGGTTTGTTTAAGTATTGTCTTGTCTGCGTGTTTTTGTTTAGGCAGACAAGTGTAGTATCATCATATACAACATCTCAATAAAATGCGCCTTCAACCTATTTCGGTTGTAGTCTGTACTAGACTAAAACCGTGGATTATTAGCCAATCATTGCAACCTTATGACGACAATATTGAAGACGTGCTCTTCAGAAAAAGGAAACATAAAAGTATTTTTATTTATGGACAGCATGTCACGCTTCACACACGCCTTCTTCCAAAACGCATTTCGGTTCGAGCCTCATGTGGAAATAGCTATACCGCGCAATCTCTGTGTTTTCTTAAACTACAATATTGTTACACATACAATAATGACCTTAAATGTAACACACACACCTGTTATCGGTAAAATATATTTATCTAGACTTGAACATAAATCATGCACCTTTGATTAGATAGTTTATTAGTTATTTATATGGAACGCTATCTTATTTAGATAGGAAGTCCTTTACACAAACGTGATTTTATTATTATGCACTAGCCTTGACCGAGGACACCTTTCAAAGGACGTCTATTAAAGATAACGGGTATTTGAAGAGGGTAGTCCGAAGTTCATGATTTTTAATAGAATAGATGTTTATTCAAAAAAAAAAACACAAAATTTTCAATAATAAACTCATTTTCCAAACATAATATAAGAATTATAAATATAATTTTACTTGACTAAATACAGGAAAAGTGGTAGTTACAATTGCCTCTAAAAAGGGCGTCCAGGACGTTGTTGGGATTTATGTCCCAACACTGATATTCTGTGGCCCCATCTATTCTATTAGGCACCTTTTACGCAAACACTTAATACAATAAAGTTTAATAGTTTAACAAAATAAGTACTTAAAAGGGTTTTCGCCTATAATTATTGCTTCATATTTATTATGTATCATCGCGATATGAAGTCAGTCAAAAATTATTTAACCACTTCGGTAAGTAGGTACTTATAAACGTCACATCAGTTAGAAACTCAAGATTCTAAAATTGACTACCAGTTAATCAGGGGCGTAAAAAGAAAGAGGAAAACTTTTAACGGTATAAAACGCGATATATTAGTAAAACTTATGTGAAAATCATATAACTTCAGCCCGACGTTTCGGATACTTATGAACCAAAGCAGAAATCAGCCGTTAGGTTGTTTTATTTAAATGTGTCCTACTCGCGTAAACTATAGACAGTGTTTCAGAGAAAAACTCTTTTATCGCCAACTTCATTTTACAGTCTTCACGTAGTTTAAGTGTACTACATATATTTAGTTGTTACAGCGGGTTCCTTCAAACCCCAAGCATTTTTGTTTTTTATATATAGATTTACGTTTTAATAACCTTAATTTTCTATATATAATACAGTTTTCTTCGAAGATATAATAAATAAGCTTACTTGTATGCAGCTATTTTCTTGTCGAAGCAAAATCTTTCTTCACAGCACTTCCAATATATTGTCTCCAGGCAACTGTAATTGAAAAGCCATTATTAGTATAGATAACATATTATAACACCGAGAACAGACAAACATGGGCCCTAGCCATATAACGTCGAAACAAAATCTGCTGCCGACCTATTTTGGGTTATTCGCAGTATACATTAGTGATCGATGCAGTATACCGTATTATCACAAACCTTCGACCGTTCGTCCTCTTGGTAAATTTTATTTTAAAGATTGTACAATTTCAAACCATTCATTATTATTTTGTTATGATACAATGAGACTTTGTAAATGAAAAAAAAGTAGCTCAATTCGTTAAAGCAAGATTGAGGGTGCAGGTTCCAGTTCCGTCTGTGTCATCGAATTTTTTCTATCTATATAGATTTTAATTTAAATTACTAAAGAACGCGTTTGAGCCTTGAGCTACGGAGATGGCTTTATTAAGTAGATATAATTAGGTATATGCGGAATCCCCAAGCCCAAAAAAGGCCCCCCGGGCCCCCAAAAGAAAAATAAAAATATATGGAATTTCTGAAAAGCCAAAATAGGCCGACATCGCATCTAGTTAGATTACTAAAAATATATCGCGTTTTAAATCGTTAAAGTGTTTTATTTAAGTAACTCTACTTTGCAAAATCGATGGAAATCAGTTCAAAACCCGCTTTAAAGCAGTCGTAAAATGTAATTCCCCGCTAATCTTGACAAAGACTGAGCACCTGTAATCCGATCTTATTGAAGATAAGATATCGTTAGATTTATTCACCTTGAGATAAATTTCGCAATAAATAGCGAGAGATTGTTGAAACGAGTTAAAGTACACCAAAAATAAAACTCCTTTAACTGATAGAAACGCGAAATAAATTAGTTATTATTATTATATTTTTTATTATTACTTATTAACCATTTATTTTAGCTACTGCCCGACGTTTCGCATGCCTTGCGGCGGCATAACAAGTCCGAATGTAATTGTTTGAACCAGTTAATGTTTCCGATTTCATAGTTAGCGAGTGGGTTTGGTGGGTTCCAAACCCACTCACTTGATGGGATCAACGATCATCGTACATATATCAGTAATAATAGGGATTCGAAACTGTATTTAGCGTTGAAACAATTTGGGCGATGGGCGATGGGCGAACGTTGGTTTGGTGGTAGAAATGAATGGCTAATAATCAATAGGTAGTGGGATCGAACTACGTGAAACATTTAAATAAAACACCTTAACGGTTTAAAACGCGATGTATATATAACTTATTTGAAAATGATTTTTAACTTCGGCCCGACGTTTCGAATGCTTTGCAGCAGCCGTGGTCACTGGGAAACTGGAACGGAACGTCGGGCCGAAGTTAAAAATCATTTCAAATAAGTTAAATTTACATCGCGTTTTAAACCGTTAAAGTGTTTTATTTAAATGTGTACTTCTCGCCTAAACTATAGACAGTATTTTTTACGTGAAACATGTTTATAATCAAATTCATTATTTTTTTGAACATGTTGGACTTGGGAAATCTGGATATTTTATTATTTATTTATATGGCTGGGATATTCCACCTTCCATCAAGTGAGTTATGCTTGTCTGTTCCCCTTTATCATAAAAGTAATTAGATTAATTTTGTTCAGTATAGGAACTAAAAAATCTCAAAACGTATTAGCACTTTGACTAAATAGGTACAAAGTTAAAACGTGTACTCACTATTGGCAAGATTTACAGATTGCGAACAGCATCTTAACATTTTCACATGTTATTCGTATCATTCAGTCAGCCGCGTTTCGGTTGTCGGGATCTGAAATGAAAGAGAATGAATATGTAGTGAGATATTTATTCAATATATTTTTATTCATAAAGGATTTGAATTATTCATAAGTGACAAATGCCGATGAGTTGTATGAATGTAACAATTGACAATTGTTCTCGTGGTGAGATGTGGACGCATATGTCGTGACTAATTATGGTACTTTTGTGCTGAACTCTACTGTAGTTCATGGGCAAGACACTTTTACTATATAAACTCTGGTTCGGTCTATGTATGGCTAATAAACAAGGACTGTTGTGACTTCGATTCCCACCGGGACTAACATGTTTTTAGAAACATAAAACAGTAAAATTATAATTTTGTCTGTAACATACGGAATTAGTCTGGTCATTAGAATATCCAAACGCAAAATAGGTCGACAGCGCAAATGTTAAATGGCTGGGGCCTTTCATCTTCAAATATTAGAATTCTTGGCTTTTTATTAAGTACGGTGTCATGTGGTTTGTTTTTGTGAGTGTATTTTTTCAATCTAAAAAATACATTATTCTAATTTACCCATACAGTACCGAATAGTATCGATTCTTATAATTGTAGACTAAAAAACGTATAATTTAAATGTAAAATTGTTGAATTTTAAATGCAGAATATTTGCTGTGTAAACTATAAGTGTAGTTACAATTTATTCATATCGTTTGAGATTAACTACACTGATGTTTTTTCCTGTCTGATTGTCAGGATCAGGAAACGGATTAGATGTAGGCCGAATTAGAGGTTGTCATTTGCACACAATGGCCACTTAATGTGGCGAGAATAATGATTAACATCTGGCAATTTTGCTTATGGCGAAATTATATTGAGCTACATGAATAGTTTCAAACAACGCAACGATACGCGGTTGTTTAGAGCAACAGCACGGAACACGGACGATGCTGGTTCAAGTACTGCTCGAGTCGATATTAAAGGACTTAGGAAATCAAATATGTGGTCACGGGTGGTCTCCCCGGGATTCTTAAAATGTATAGATACTATTGGTATCCCTTATTTTGTTTCAATATTTGAAGTGTTTAGTAACAGTCTTTAAAGAGTATGGTGGTCTTATTGTTGTCAAATTCTGCACGCCATAAAGACCTTGGGTGTTTGATATTCATAAGAAGTGGGCCAAAGAGGTAGTAATTAACGTACAAAACAATGTTATTGTATATCAGCTGATACGAGCAGTCGCTATTATGGCAAGACATAATTGTAATTGGTAACATCTTTGATAAAGAAAACTGACAGCCGAAAAAGCAGCAAATTGAAAATAACTAATACATTTCGCGTTTTAAACCGTTAAAAGTGTTTTATCTAAATGTATACTACTCGCGTAAACTACAGACAATACTTAGTAATAAGAATTCACATCGAACTTAAATATATTTTAAAGCAGTTTTACCTTTTGAGTATATATTACTCCACCCAAAAGTAAAGAACAGGTTTTACCGTCAAACACTAATTAGATTGCGTTATTAAGCAATTGCCTGTTAATAGTTCATAGTTAAAAATCTTGGAACATTTTAATTATTCCATTGTCATTATGAGGAAATAATGACCATCGTAAAATAGCCATTATTTCTAATTTATGAGAACCGCAGCCACACACGTCCCGTGACCGCAAATTGTTTGAAAACAATTACTCAAAGACTCGCTTAAATGATGTGTCTTTTGTCATATTTTCATGTTCTTGAACAGCAGTTTATAATAACAAATAAATTATCTAATTTAGAGGTGAGCAACTGTCCCGATGACATTTCAAAATTTTGTCAAATTAAGTGCCAAAATTAGTTTTATTGCAAATTTCAATATTTTAGTTTAAAAAAAAATTTAAATAATACATACTCAATAATAAAGAGATAATAAAAAATACTTTTAAAATATTCTTGTTGCGATGTTGTCATTTTTTTTCTAATCGTGTAATAGGTGTCTTATGTCTTTTTGTAAAAAAACGGTTGCCGAGCCGTATTAAAATTTACTTTCGGGCTGCTCTCCTCTCAACGAATTAAATAAATAAGTCATTACACTGGTCACATATTATGGATTGCAGTACTTAAAATTGATACAAAATATATAGACGAATAATAAGTGTTTTAAGTAAAAGTATATTAAACTTTTTAAATTATGCAATCATAATTAAATGTCTATTTTTGTACTTACATATTATACACTTAATAATATGTAAGTACACAAGGGTACAGCAATGACATTATGCATATACACACATACAAATATATATATGGATATTTATATCTTAGGAGACCAAAGCATTTATTCCAAATAGCTCAAAAACATTAACGCAAAGTAAATGAAGGTAATTAAAACTAGTGTTTCTCTAGTGTCTCTAGTTACAAAAATATTATTCAATTTATTGTAATTCTAAGGATTTTAAGGTGCTTTTAAAATAAATTATGAAAATTATAACTTATGCACGACTTTCGCGGCCAATATGCAAAGTTTCTTGGGGTTTCAAGCTGTGCGGCCGATCGTGTAGTTTATTTGCTTAATTTGTCTTCTAAATCGTAATTTAGTAATATGAGCAACACGTAAAAACGCAAGCAATTTTAAAACTATTGACACAACAACAGGACAACGTCGTGATCGTTTATTATCACCAATCAATATGTGTTAGCACTTGTATAGTAAAAAATTGACCACCAAAAGTGCAAATATGTTTATCATGACTCATTCATGAAAGTCCCTTAGACTTGATCATGTGATTTAGGGAAGACCCCCCCCCCTTCTCGACAAAACTTAAAAACTTACTATTTAAACGTCAGTATATAAACGTATATACTTCCTATTAACTAAATGGGATGTAATTTATTTACTTATTTATAATGCAGATTATTATTTTTAATTTTTTTTATTCAAAAATTTGTATTGATTACGAGAAATATGATGTATGATGATATAAGGCTATAAAAGTCTCTGTAAATTATTTAAGAATAATACTTTTAACGGTTTAAAATGCGAAAGACTTTAGTTAGTTTATTATTATTTATATGTACTTGGTACTTGCGTAAAAAAAATTATAATATTATGTTTTAATTTAATATTATCGGAAAATATTCTAATTACAATTATATTGTAAATAGGTGGTGAAAAAATAGTTTTTATTATTTAAACAAATTCGTATTCTTGTTATAAAGTAAGTAAGAATCATATTATATTGTCCTATTTCTAGGATTTAAATAAAACACTACAACGGTTTAAAATGCGATATATTTTTGTTACACTTGTTTGAAAATTATTTTTAACTACGGCCCGACGTTTCAAACAAACAAACGTTTTAATATAAAACAAATATTATATAAATAAATGTTAAATGTGTACTACTGGCGTAAACTACAGACAGTATTCTATTCAAGGATTCTTACTGAGAAACAGAATTTAACTTCTAAGTCATGACTCGGTTCTGATTCATTTACTGCGGTTAAAATTACTAAAATTTTTAACTTTAGAATAGCATTTGTAATTCAATGAATATGAATAGTAAATATTTAATTATTAAATACGCCATCTCCTGAACTGTGACGTTTTTCCAAAATCTACCCACATGCACACAATTGTCGAATAATAACACCACCTATAGCTCAGACGAAAACGTGTAGCCTAAGTTTACATAGAGGCATCGTGGGTTCGAATTGCATAAAAATCATTTGGACAATCCTTCCTGTGGGAAACTAGATTACACACATTCACACACAATTAAAACATTAACACGAAAGCGACTATAACTACTACTTTCTACAGTAAATTGTACTTACAAAAAACATTTATCACCGTTTAAATTAAACGCATAAGTAACTTAGTTCACTCGCTTAACACAATTTCACTTATCTTCAACACTTTCAGTTAATTACGCTCTTATCTCTATAGAACTGAATTTATCGTATCGAATACCACTTCTTCGATGAGCGTACACCATCAGGTTCGTAGTGAAACTGTTTTGACGCGGCCCATGGCAGGTGATTCATCGAGAAACGCCATCTATAAGCCACAGAAGGTAAGCGAGAATTTATTTTGACAAGTTTTATTGTAATTCATTGATTACTTTATCGCTCTTTACGCGACGTTGTATATGATAGTGACTAAGATTAAATTTGTTTTTTAACTTACGTTTTAATACAATAAAGCTGAACGCGTTACTAAAACAAAATTATGATATATATCTAACAAAATTATTTAAATTTAATTGGTTGAGGTGAAATTTTGCTCTAACAGCCAAATACCAAAACAAAGTAAATTATAATATGATCTTAACAGAAACTTTGTTTCTCTCATAACTTGTACCACACCCAATATTCAAAATTAATTTCGAGTTCCGATGACGTAGTATACCCGGCAAGTAGTAGTGACGTTTTTTTAAATAACAATAATAGGATGTGAATCTGGAATTTCTAGTGTATTCAAGTATTATCTTTATACACGTATTACGGATTTTAAAGAGCATTTTGAGTACATAATGATTTAAAATTGTTTAAATTAAATATTGCAGGAAGACAGTTTAAATTGAATAACCATTTAATTCTTTGTAGTTTACGCGAGTAGTAAGCATAATATAAAATTATCTCAAATAGCTTTAAATTCAAAATTGTATAGTTCTTTTATTTTTAACTTCGACTCGACGTTTCGGTTGCTTTGCGGTGTATTTTACAAGAAAGAAAGTTATATTTTCCTCTTCGCAAGAATAGTACTATTTAACCAAGGTTTGTAAAAAAGTGGACCGCCTCTGTAGCGGTTAAATTTGCCTAGCAGTGTGTAAAGCACGAGAGGTCCTGGGTTCGAATCCCGGAGAAATAATAGATTGTTTCGGTCGGGCAGGGCACAGAAGTCTGATCAACTTGCCTGTAAATGAAATCGATCAGTGAAACGGACACAGAAATGTGTTCGCCCCATGCCCCACGAGGGGAAACGGGATTTCAGATTACACACACA